CCAAGAGGCAGGATATCCCAGGTCCGGTCTCCAATGCTCAGAATATCAAGCCCGGTGCATATACCAGGCTTGCAGATTTGAGCGAGAGGTCTGGGGTGTGGTATGGCTTGGGCGAAGCACTGGAAGGATAGGTTTCCGTGCGTTGCTGCTGTGTATATTTGTTTTTGACGCCTTGAGCCTCGCGAGCGTAGACCAGAGTATCATGTTGGCGCTGCATCACCTGGACTGGCGACGTGGATCTTCCGTGAAGTGCCTCGGCTAGATGATGCCCACTGATGTGGGTCGGGAGTACATCTGTCCTGTGGTGGCCGCGGTTATACAAACACTCTGGTTCATGAGTCCCGTGCTACGGAGACTGGTATTGGAGTTATCAATTTGACGCTTTCGTGCATGCGGTGACATTCAGGCGCTGTCATGATTTTATAGCAGATGCAAAGACAAGTGTCTGTTCCACATCTACTGTTAGTTATGTATACAAGGTGCGGGGTATGTGATGCCACTACAATACTTTGCTTCCACAAATTCAAACGTGAGAAAGGTGGCTTCGAAGTTCGGACGCCACTGCATGCCACATGTACATCTACAGGGCTCACGACAATGGCAGTCATTCTATAATCGCTTCTGCCCCCAGTTGACATTTGTTTAAAATTACCGTAGGATATGGGTGAATGACAACGCCCGCCGACGAGACAAAGTCCACGTGTCAGCTTGAACAGCGACCTGCTCAACGCCTTCACTCAAGCCTCACCGGTCACCACCTAGTTTTATTAGAGCGTCTGGCCTCTTGGCCCTGCGTACCTCGGCTTGTCTGCTATCGATTGACCAAACGTCAACCTTCTCCTTTCAAGTTGGTTTCTTTTCGCCGTTGTGTCATTGGCATGCCAGTCTGTCGATTCATCATCGCGTCTCCCTTACCGACGTCCTCTAATCCTAGCCCTAGGGCCGACACATCTCCAGCCCCGCGCCGCTGGAAAACCCAACCCGTTCACGGATCGCACCACGTGCTGGGGTTCCTCATAACCAAAGATATTCTCAATCGCCCCTTCTGCGATAAGTTCATTCCACTACCCGACAACCCCTCCGAGCGCGAGAGACCAGACGTTCCGCGACTTCCTCCCGCAGCTCCTCCCGCGCGAGTACGGCCTGACCAATCTGGATAGCGTGCTCGTCTATGTGGACAAGGAGCGCATGAAGATGGGCCGCGCGCTCGTGCTCGCGGATAATCGGGGTGCGCACCCGAAGCAGCGCGAGCCGCCGCCGCCCGAGGTGGTCGACAAGATTGCGGACAACTTGGGGCTGGAAGGCGACACACGCGAGCCTGTTTGGTACAAGTGCGTTGATTAGACGGCTGGTCCGTCTGCGACGGTGTCCCTTCACGAGGATAGCGTTAAGGGAATTCTTGACTAGTATTTTGAATGCGGGCGGTATGGAAGAGGCACCGGTAACATGTAACGTTGCAGAGCAAGGAGATATCGCATTTCTCTTCTTTTACATACGTCGAGTGCGGGTTGCATCACCTGCTTCCCGGCCACAAATGTTGCTTCGGATGCAGTCGCACCACGTCCTTGGGTGGCTTATAACCAATAATATGACTCGCCGCTTCCGCGATAAGTATGGCCTTGCGAACCTGGAGACTCGTTAATGTGGACAAGAAGCGCATGAACATGGACCATGCGCTCGTGCTCGCGGACAATCGGGGACGGCTCCCGAAAAAGCGAGTGTCACCCCCGCCCGACGTGGTCGACAAGATTGCCGATGACTTGGGTCTTGAAGGCGACGCGCGCGAGCCGGTTTGGTACAAGTGCGTTGTATCCCCGACTCCCACCACGGTATTGGGAGGAGGGTTCTGTCGGGAAGAAATGGTCACTCCACCATACAACTCGCTCTCGCCGTGTGTTATGATTTTCCCATGCTTATCTCATTCCATTTCCATTCCGAGCATTGCTATTGGACAGTACCTTTCTCTGAGTAGACCTTCCCATGGACGCTATCTTCTTCTCACACGTTATCTTCCTTGACTCACCTTCTACCAATGGGCGCCCTTGTATTTCTCATTTCTCTGAGTTACGTTCTCACAGGATGGCTTACGCATCCTTTCTTATTGTTCTCTTCTTTGGGTATTAACCCCTATACCAGTTACTATATATACTGTAGGAAAACCCATGTATTCCTTAGTTCAACCTCCTGTTGAATACAGCGATTACCTGGACTCTTGACTTGACCGTTGGCATTGGCCCGGCCAGACCTACCTTTCAGTACGCCTACTGAGGTAGTGACGACATAACTGTTGGCACGTGGCCCAGTTATCTCAAGACGACTAGTCAGGACATCGCTTCCTAAC